GGTACTCCGGTTTCCTCCCACAAACCAAAAACATGCATGTTAGGCTGCCTTCAGGCCCAGGCCTCTCTTGTAAAAAAAGATCTGTGATCTCAATGGGATTTGCCTGGTTAAATAAAGTTAATAAATGTATTATAATCAAAAAGACAAGATTTAGGGGCATCTTTGGATGGTTAGAGAGGTTGTCATCCAGTGGGAGAGTTGAGGGCTTGATTCCACCAGCAGTCACATGTTGAAGTGTCTTTGGGCAAGATAGTGAACCCCTCATTGCCTCTGATGTGTGTCCCATGAATGTGTGAATGTGATCTAAAGCTCTGATTAGTCTCTACAGATGCAGATTAGCTCTGTAGAGATCTAGTAGAGTGCTGTATGAATGAGTAAATGAGGGCACAGGTTGTGTTGTAAAGAGCTTTGAGTGTCTTGATAAGATAGAAAGGGACTATATAAGTACAGTCCATTTACCATTTACCATAATTTGTCTCATTAAAATAGAACGCCCGGCTCTAAATAAGTCTGGCTGATTTATTATAAAACACAATCACTCATTTATAATCATATAACTTTGTGTTGCTGTGAAGACATTTTCAGACCAGCAGCTCATTGAGACCTGTTGCTGACAGAGAACAAGAGAGTTTTTGTTTTGTATTCTCTTGAATAAAGCACAGCAGACAGCTGTGAGCCAACACTGAAGCGGTACTGCTCGGTGTGGCTGCGGTGTCAGAGTTAACACAATCCACAAAAGACAAAAGATGTCAGCTACAGCAGACAAACCGCTCGGAGCGCAGCACCGAGGTTCACAAACACTCCACGCAGTTTGGACGGACCAATAAGCGCTGAGAGATTCAGCTACACTTTTATCACAATTAAAACATTTAGAAAAGCTGAACGTAAAAACAAAAGAAGGAAGTGATTACAAATTACCTTCAGCTGTTCTTCCATGTCTGATATTTTCTTTTTAAGGCTCCAACTTTCCTGTGGCGATGATATCAGATATAATTACAGTAAAATAAATCAAACAGCTTGATGAGCTCTTACCTTTTTTTCTGATTCAAGCATGTTGGAGTCACAATCACCTGCTTTACCATTCTGACACAAAGAGAGCTCATTATTAAAAACGTTGACCACTGGAGCTGTGTTTTATGACTTATGTTGCTTTTTTTAATTGGGAATATTTGAATCTGAATTTATGCAATGATGTACCTGTGCTTTCTGCAGCTGGTCCTGGACCACAGTGAGCTCCAGTTTACTTGTTTCTAGTCGAGACTTGAGCCTTTGGTTAGTAGCTAGTGCCTTTTCATACATCTGTAAAATATGGATTTATTAGAACTTTTTAAAATATTTATTTTACAATACGCAAATTATTTTAAGAAGGAAGAAAATATATTTTGTGTGTGTTTCAATTCGTGTTAACTGTGACAAATCAATATACAGTTGATTTAAAACTTATAACCCACTGAAATGCTTTCAGTAAATTCTCGTTATTTCTATTTTTCTTTTGTAATGTGAGGTAGATATATTACTGCTGAAATAACACACAACAGAAGATAAATCAGGTCAACTTTCAGTGCATCACCTGCCTTTTGATAGTCGCTGTTCATCTTTTCTTCCTCGGCCTTTTTCTTTGCAGACAATCTGTTCTCCCTCCGCAGGAAGTAGGACTCTGCATGGTTTGTTGATGTGTCATTAGAGACATCAGACGAAACCGCTGAGCCCAATCTAAAAATGGAGGCAGCTTTTATTTTCAGTCATTTACTGTATTTTTTTTCTGTAACATGTTAAACTCCTTCCTGTTTAAGTCCATTCATCCATTCATCTATTATCTTTTCCTGCTTCTTCCTTTCCAGGTAATGGGGTCACTGGTGCCCTGTCACTGTGAGAGAGGCGGAGGACACCCTGGACATGTCTCCAGTCCATCACATAGACACATAAGCCCCTTATCCACAGGTCCTACATGGGCCAGCTTTCAAATGCTCAGGCCGGTTCCATGTTTTATCCATAGTGCCTTGTATGGTGGAACCAGCCTGTTTTTTTTAGTACCTACTTCTCTGCGGTTCTGTTGAGTTCAAGTAGGACCTAAAACGTGATGTCAGCGCGCTGTCATTCACTGATTAGTCAGTGGGAGGAGTCACTGGAACTCAGAAACCTAATATATATATATATATATATGTGTGTTTAATTCGATCATTTTAATAATCTGTATTCTTTTAATTTATCAGAAACTTCAAAATAAATTCTCACTGAAACCTGGCCGACCCAACCAGGACCTATGGATAAGGGGCTATAGAGACAAGCAAACATTCACTCTCTGACTCACACCTATAGACAATTAGAGTTACCAATCAGACTACCGTGTTTCTGGTCTGTACCTGGAGAAAATCCACACATACACAGAGAGAACATGCAATCTCCACCCAAGGTGGCCCTTGGCTAGGATTTGAACCGGCGACCTTCTCTCAGTGAGGCAACAACTCTACCAACTGAGCCACCATGCCATCTGTTTAAGACTTTTTAAATAAATAGGAGGAAACTTACCTGAATAGTTTTTCATGCTGAAAAAGAAGAGAACCGTTTTAAAACTTGGTCATTTGGTTTAAAAAAAGATGCAACATAGCCTGCAAATGTTTTAACCTTATTTGCTGAAATATTCCAACACACTTTTTAAATAAATGTATTCCATCGCAAACCTTACAAACAAAACAGCGAACTGTAAACATGGACACGTTTTCAGATAATTGCAGATCTGTATTTGTTACAATTCAGTTACATTTTGCAAAATTCAAGAGGCTCTGTTCAAAAACAGTTTATGCATTCTCTTCAACAGTGAATGACGTTCTGACGTACTAAAGTGAGCCAAAAGAAGAGAGAGAGGAAGTGATCCCTTAAATAAACCGACAAGCACAGACAACTAAACACATCCAAAAATGGTCATAACTCCAGTGACGACCCTCTCGGTTTGTGCACTGTGGCCTGCTAAAGTTGGAAGGTTGTGTGGGATGTGTCCCAAGAGGTTTTTAAACACAAATGAGAGCTTAGATCTAAACATTACACTTAAACATTTAAGAAACATATTAAAAAATCTACTTTTTCAGTCCATGAGTTTTCTGTTTTATACAGACATAAAAACATCAAACCAAATGTCCCTTCACTAGTATTGAAAAACTAACAAAGAATGCAGTAATTACCTTATGTAATTATTTAAAATAGTATTCCAAAGGATATTGCTTGCTGCCTTTAATATCAAAAGGTCATGTTACGTTGAGAAATAACATAATTATAGATGTTTCGGTCATATCTTTGAAATCATGATACATTCATCTCTTATGTCTTATAATAATAAAAGATCTAGCGCTCAGAGTATGTGTTGTGAAAGACTCTCAGCTACTACCACATCAAATCTTAGGTCAATATCAGTAAAATTGGCTGAGTTGTTGACATTTTGGTGATGGTTACTGAGGCACCCGCTGAGGATAGACTGTGGCAGCAACCTGGGCTCCCAATGATACTTAGATAAATTGCATTTTCTGTGAAGATGCAGTGTGAATGTTTATTGCTGAAGAACTTGCTGAAAAATAGTTGAAATTAGCTAAATAAATTTTAAAAAGCATGCTCAGTTTTGGCTGAAAAATAAGAACAAGCCTAGATTAGCAGAAGAAAGCAGAAAAAACACATGTTGTTGAATTAGGTTTAAATAAGCAGACACAGAAATTATGAAATTAGCTAAAACAAAAAGGCTGAAATTAGGGAAAAGTAGCTGAAAGGGCAAAAAGAAGCTTAAAATACCAGAAGGAAGTGGAAAGAGCTGAAATGAGCTTAAAATGTGAAATTAACTGGAAACACTAAAATTTGCATATAAACAGCTAAATAGTAGCTGAAATTGCAGACAACGTTGAAACGAACAAGAAAAAGCTGAAAGGTGCGTAACAAGATGAAATTAGCATAATGGTGTTAATTAGGCTGAAAGTAACAAAAATTACCATGAAAAACTGGAATTAATCTGAAAACAACAACAAGCTTGTAACTGTGACTTTCCGTCCCTTCATTGATTACGGTGACATTATTTACATGAACACTCCTACAAGAACCCTGCAGATGTTGGATGCTGTCTATCATGGTGCACTAAGATTCATAACTGGCTGTGATTATCGTACCCATCACTGCACCCTGTATTCACTGGTTGACTGGACATCATTAACTTCACACAGACTCTCCCACTGGTTCATTTGCATTGTTAAATCACTTCTTGGTCTGCTGCCTTCATACATCTCCTCCTTCATGTCTCTGCGTGAGTGCAGCTACAGCGTGCGCTCTCAGGACATTATTACCTGCAGTGTTCCCTCAGTGCGAACTGAACTTGGTAAAAGGGCCTTCTCCTACTCTGCTCCTGTTTCCTGGAATATCTTACAAAAAGATTTGAAGCTCTCGACCTTGACCTCTCTAAGTGGCTTTAAGAATCTGTTGGACTCCTGGCAGGGACCAATGCAGACATGTTCCTGTTTTTAGTTTTCTACATTCGCCTTAGAATCTAGCTGATATTGTTACTTTTTTGTCATCTTATTAAAAAAATAATAATCTGTATGCCTTTTTATAACTGTCCATTGTTGTCATAATTCTTTGTTGAAATCAGGTCTCTCTTGTAAATGAGTCCTCGAGGCTCAATGGGATTTACCTGTCTAAATAAAGGTTGAATGAATGAATAAAGCTTTTTAAAAAAAAAGCTAAAAAGCTATCTGAAAAGGTATAACGTGCAACAGAGAACACGTTTGCCCAGTTAGGCTGAAAGAAGCAGAAATTAGCACAAAAAGTGGAATTTATCTGAACAAGCTGAAATTAGCAACAACAACAACAAAAAACTGCTGAAAAGTAGCAAAAAACGCAGGAAGAAGCTGAAATTATCAGAAGGAAGTTGAGAATGCATATTTATGCCAAACTGGGCTGATAAAAGTTGAAATGAGTGTAAAAAATATGGAATTACTGGAAATTCTAAATTTAGCATTAAAAACAGCTAAATAGTAGCGGAAATAACAGAAAAAGCTGAAACTAGCACATATAAGTTGAAAGGATCACAATAAGCTGAAAATAGCAGAAAGAAGATAGAAGTACAAAAATGTAAACAGAATCTGAAAGGAGAACAAAACATTTGAAAAAAACAGCTGAAGTTAGCTGAAAGAAGCTGAAAAAAGTTTAAATTTGCACAAGGAAGCTGAAAGAAGCTGAAGCAGAACAAAATGTGGAAGGAGTAATAAAAGATTGTAAACAGATCTAAAGATATGAAGGATGTAAAATGAGCTCAATTCATTCTCTATGAGAAAAAAGCGGCAGAAAAGACTAAATATTTCAAAAAGCTAAAGTTGCACCAATACCAAAAGTCATAGCAGGATTGTCTTGAATGAATTGAATGTTTGTATTTATGATTTGTTGAAACTGCACAAAAATTGTGGAATGATAAAAATGCCGAAAAATGTATGGAAGAAAAAATGATCACAATAGTGTGAATGCTTCATAAACATTCACACAATTAGTCCTAGAAGTACAGTACGCTCAATGATTATTTACAGTTTCAGTAAAATTTACCTTGTCGTTCAGAGGATATTTTGCTGACAGACAATGCTGACTCGAAAACTGTTATGTGCCTAAATGTGTTGACGTTAGTTGATCAGTCTCAGCTTCATTCATATAATTTACTAAGGGACAGCCAGTTTTGTGTTTTTGAAGGACAGTTGGCTGTGGCAGCCATATTGAATTTTACTGACTCAAAAAGTTAATCAGTTGTAGATGTAAAGGATTATTCTAATAAAATGTTTGTGGTGGTTTTTGATTGATTTTGCTAACAGACACAAAACAAAACATCGTCCTCCGCCTTCACTTTATGTTGTGTTAATCATTATTCAGTGTGTCTCTTGTGAGTTAATGAACAAAAACATTAACACAATTTTCATTCAACCTTTATTTATACAGGTTAATCCCATTGAGCCTCGGGGACTCATTTACAAGAGAGAACTGGTTTTAAAACAGCGTGATGGTCACAGTGGATAACGAAGACAACAATAGACAATCATACAAGTAGAAAAGAACAAGTGCTGTTAGTCTGAAAGAAAACCACCATTTTGGCTAAAATAATAAATGAAATGCGCATGTAGAAAGATTACTAAATGCATTTGACTCAAAATGTTTTGTCAGATCAGGGCGCGTCATCTTTTTCACAGTGGGTTTATAATTAAATAATTTGGAAACTATTTT